GGAAACAAACTCATTATTTTTGTGTTGAATTGATTATCAGGTGGGTCTTGTGTGGCATACTTTGCACTGACAGAACAAGCTTTCAAGAAACTTTCCAAACTTTTATGTGTAAAACAGTGGCAGCCAACCTTTTTGGCAGGCATGCTACAAATTTGCTCTGCACCTTTCCTGAGTGCCAGTTTAGTTCTCTTCCCCTGCCCAGTCTCCTGCACTTTCTGTCTTATTTGCTGGTGCTTCCGTGCTTCTTGTCCTCTCCCTGGTCTACTGTGAGCCACATGCAGAGGCTGCCCATGCTGCTTGTGGCACGTGCTTCAGGTTGGTCACCCCTGAACTAAAACATAAATGTCGTGTATATGCTAACAGAATTGTCTTGAGACAGAAGACATTTAGGCCAGTGGTTCTCAACCTTTTTATAGACTCAAGATATCCCTGCATAACTTTTGTGACTTGAGCAGCACCGCATTCCAAAAGTTTATTTATAACAGTGCTTACCTGCTTAAAGAAGGGCTTGGGAGGAGTAGGAGCAGCTGGCAGGTCTGACCTGCACTTCTGTAAGTGGGCTGAGGAGGAGTGTTTGGATGGAAAGAGCCTACACTGATCTCCTAACCAGATCCTGTGCTTATTTTGCCTACTTTGTCTGTCCTGGTAGCACGCTTCAGAGGCTCTTCTGGCACTCAAGGGTGCCTTGGCCCCTGGTTAAGAAACACTGCTCTAGTCAGGAACCTGAAGATAAGTGCTGTCCTAGGAAGGAATTACACTGGATTGGATCTAGGGTAAAATTTATTGGATTAGGGTAGATTTACCTTGGTTTGGGGGTAGCATCATGTGATTATAACATTTTCCCCCCCACCCCACCCCACGGTCTTCCTGTTTGTAAATTGGGAGGTTAATTGAAGAATAGTTTTGAAAATGTTTGAGATGTGAAAATACAAGAGAAGTGAAGTTTGTTTATAACTTGCTTTTTTTATAATTAATATTGGTTGTTCCCCACCCTTCCCCTCAGGTTTCTTTCTCCAAAGAAATTTGGTAATCCAGGAGAGCGTCTCCGTAAAAAGAAGTGGGACCTCAATGAGTTGCCCAAGTTTGAGAAGAACTTTTATGTGGAACATCCAGAAGTGGCAAGGCTCACTGCAGTAAGTTTTCTTTTTTTCTGTTCTTTTCATGTTTGGTATACTGGGGGAAAGTTTTAAAGGTGGTAACAGTTCCCAAAACTTAGTGGGATAATTGCATTTTTCCCTCTCCACAGCCTGTTGTGTTGTATGTATGTTATATACAGGAGTATTTCTTTTGGTTACTTGTTCAGTTACTTTCAGAGTTACAGATATGGCATGTTTCATCATTGTAAACTGCATTGTTCAGAAACTTTAGTGGATGAGTAATTAGGAACAAAAAAAAAAGGTAGTTACAACATATTGTTGTCTTCTGGTAATATTTTAATCCCATCTTTCTGTTTTTGGTGCATTTGGTTTTGGTTTTTCCCTTTCCCCAGTCCTTTGGTTCTCTTCTAGAAACTGAAAGATGTCTCCTGTAACTTAATGCATCACTTCTATATTGTTCAGCACTTTCTGACAGGAAAATTATTCATAAATGCTCCTTGCATAGCAGTTCTAGATTATGATCTACAGCTTGGAGTTATGCATTTAGCTCCCAGTTTAATTGCATTAATGTAAGGGGGGGGGCTACCCTGCCTCCTTCCCATCCTTAGTCAGTAATCTATTTCATTGTCCCTCTTTTACCTAATAACTGAGACCTCTGAAACCAAGTTGTTAGTGAAACTGTTAGGGAGTCTCTTGACAATTGCTATCAGAAGCATCTGTACCAGGTTGTTGCTCACCACTTGATTGGGTTTTTTTGTTTGTTTCCATAAATAGTTTGAGGTTGAAGAGCTGCGAAGGAAGAAGGAGATTACAATTAGGGGGGCAGAAGCCTGCCCCAAGCCTGTGTTTGCCTTCCACCAGTGTAACTTTCCACGTAAGTATTCTGTTGTTAAAGACATTAATAGTTCTGTTTGGGAAAGGGAGGAAGTCCTAGGAAGATGTGTTGCTAATCAAACCTGTTTAGTTCTAGGAGTTTTTTAAGATCTACATGTAGCCTTGTAGAGTTTAATTAGAAAAGTAAACCTTTTAAGGAGATGTTGACTTGTCACTGAGACTTAAAAGTGTGAAACCTGAAATTGTTCTCAGTCCAGGCTGTTTAGGCCAACTTCCCTTGCATCTGTCTTCAGATTGATTTCTTCTGTTCATATTTAAGTAGTTTGCCTTCACTGTCTCTTTAAATTGCAGAGTATGTAATGGATGTCTTGATTGATCAGAACTTTTCAGAACCTACCCCGATTCAATGCCAGGGTTTCCCACTGGCCCTCAGTGGTCGTGACATGGTGGGCATTGCTCAGACAGGCTCTGGGAAGACATTGGCGGTATGTTTTACACTCTGTTGCTTTATTTGAATTTCTGTTTGGTTTCTGGTTGCTCTTGCCTTGCCATTTAGACAAGTGCAAAGAGTGAGGTAATGTTTTAAAAACACCTGTTTATATTATGGAGTAAAGACTTAAGAAAGTAGCATATGAGTTTACTTTGAAAGCCTGATCTTCTCTGTTTTCTAATAGTTAATACCTTTTTAAAGTTGAGTTGTTTTCTTAGATGCCTGGATGTGGTCATCCAAGTTTGAAAACTATTGTGTTTGAGTAGAGGTGTCTTGCCTGTTCTGATATATGGGATATTGGCTGCCATAGCAAAGATATAAGGCTTTATAAATGTGCCCTTCTCTTGATCCAAGATGGTAATCATTGACCTGATGTAATTGAAATTTTGTTTCATTTTAACTCAAAAACCTGTTTCTTTTGTTTCAGTATTTGTTACCTGCAATTGTTCATATCAACCACCAGCCCTATTTGGAGAGGGGAGATGGTCCAATTGTAAGTGTTACTCAGTTTTCTATCTGGAAACTTACAGATGCATTTTCATGAATATGGCATAGAAAAGAAGCAGAGAACTGCTTGTTGGGACTGTGGGCAGCCCCTTTCGTGTACCCATGGAAATTGTTACATTGCAAGTTTTGATGTAGTGCAGTCTTTTTCAGGCAATAGAGTGTTAACAAGCTAATAAGCTCTATCCTGGATTTATTTCTTTCACAGTGTTTAGTTCTAGCTCCTACACGAGAGCTGGCACAACAAGTGCAGCAGGTAGCTGATGATTATGGCAAATGCTCAAGACTGAAGAGTACTTGTGTATATGGAGGAGCACCCAAAGGTCCCCAGATCAGAGACCTGGAGAGAGGTAATAGTGTTCTTGCTTCTTTAAGTATCCCATGTATTTCAAAAGTTGGAATTCAGGTGATTTTATAGAATCTCAATCTTGTTCTCCTTGTCATTTTAAAGTCACTAGGAAAAGGGGCAAAGGGTGAGTATTGACCTACCTACAGTAATTTAGTGCAGCTTTCACCTCTGCTTAGTATGTGGGTACAATACCATATTTGCCTGACCCCAAGTTGACTTCTCAATAATTAGAGTCTGTACACGGGGAAAACTTTATTTCCTTAATCAAATTCTATACGTGGAAAATTGTAATAATTGGAGGGTTGTCTTATTTATATTCGTCCCACCACCACTGCAGTGGCATAAGCAGCCTGCCCCCCCTGCTGCCTCCCTGCCTCCTTCCAGTGATGTCTATATCTCCACCCGCACAGTTTGAACTCTTTAAGCATTTTGCCTTCAGAGGTGTACAAATAGTAAACCCCCATTTCTGTTACAACAGAATCTTGTTTAAAAAGACTCTTAATATACTTCAAATCCTTTTTCTTTAAAGCTATACTCTAGCTTTTCTATAAAGCTAAACAGGGAGCTTTTCTTACTGTGTATAGTTGCCTGTTGCATCTCTTGCAGTCCTTTAAGAAGGGTTCAGAGGTAGGCTTACTGTATTGAGGGATTCACAGTTTTGCATGGGTTATAAAAATAAGTGCTCAAATGACTTCTCTGTCATATCCAAGGCCCAGTTCATGGTTATATGTTAAAGTACAATAGCCCAAACCAAGGAACTCTGACGTAATGCATGGCATGAATAAGGTGCATTCTGAAAGCCGTTCACACCTAAATTACATGCATCTTATTAGGAAATCCATGTTTCTCTTCATCTTACAACGTTTTGCTGCTGGGGGAAAACATTCTTGAAAAATTAAGTAGTTCAGTAGATAAAGCATACTGGAAGTCAACAGGGCAGTTTTTCCTGAATAAATTACAGTGCACTCAGAGGAGCAGGGATTTGAAGTTGAGATTACACATGCTGATCTGTGGGGTCTTAACTTGGTGCTCTGTACACAGTCAAGGCTCTACAAAATAGACAGCTTATCTTCTAGAACTGTAGCATTTGGTTGGAAGGTATCGTAAAACGTGATTCCCCTGCTCCCTCACCCCCTCCTTTTACAATTTTTGTTCAAATATGACCCACCAATAATTAGATTCTATATGGAGGTGCACCAGTACATCAGTCCGATATCGGATCGGGACTGATATAAAGAAAATTGGCTGTATCAGAAATTGACCCAGTTTCTGCAGCCCATAGTTTGGTTGGTAAATTCTCGTGCATGTGTGCAGCCGCAACACAACACGTAAGTGGCAAGGAGCAGAGCCTGACGGCTTGGAGAGCTGTGTGTAGCTGGTAGGTCTGTTATGATGCAGATCAGTGCCCCCTACAGTAAGGGAGAGGAGGCAGTGGGACAGGGGCAGATGCTGCCGAGCTGGGGCAAGGTATGGGA